GCAAGTCGTCTTTACTATGTCTAGATGCCTAAATGCATTGAGTTGCTGCCTTGTGATTGGCTGATTAGCAATTGGTGTATTGTGTTACCAAGCATTTGAGCAGGTGTCCCTAATAAAGTGATCAGTGAGCGTATATGTGCTTGGTCTCATTGCGATGCCTGCGTTAATTACTCCGCTGCAGGAACTTTAACACAGTGTAAACACTACATTTTTGAAAAATAGCTTTGGATTGCTGATCAATAACATGGGCATTTCCGGACATCAACTGACTTCCATTACATCCAATCTGTCCATGAAATTTACAGGATCAGCTTGAAACAGGACTAGCAAGTCAAATACTCAGAAATGCAACCATTTTTGATTAGCAGTTAAAAGCCATGTGTCAAAAATGTGGTGTGTAGGCTGCATTTAAGTTCCTGCAGCGGTGTAAATAATGCACATATCACAAGCAATAAAACAGACACTTTACTGACTTTCCCTTTTCAAAATTATGTGGATTGTTCCACCCTCTAGTGAAAAGGCTAAGAACTTTTCAATAAACACTCATATATTACCTTATTTTGTATTATTTATATATAAACAATACATAAACTTTATTAGACCAGTTGCTCTTGCTTTGCCTGTTCTTGGTATAGCATATTAATGTTCCTTTCAGACCACTTCTTTCCATTTTGTTTTCATGTAAACATGTTAATTTCTACAGGTCTATTCAGATGTCGAATTATGTTGTCACATCTGTTTTTCAGGGTAAAATGATAAAACCTACACTTTTAATAAATATAATATTTATATGACAACGATTTCTAAGAAATTTTAGAAAAAAAGAAGGAATTAATCTGGAGAAAATGTCCCTAATCTGGTTTCCGCCAGGGACGCTGCCTAAAATTCCCAGGGTGGAAGAACCAATTCTGTCATCTTTGCAGAGCTCAAAGACTTTCTTAAACCCTTGCCTTAATGCCGTTTCATCCCAGGTAGCTTCCAATGAAGACTGTATCTTTTCTGCTTTCACTGGTGGATTTGCAAAACATTAACCTATTTCAAAAGCTTTCAAGTCCTCATAAAATGCTAAAAGGAACTTGGTAGGGAAATAAAATATTTCTGCCTACATGTTTTGAACTCAATGCCTTTAAAGTCGTCTTGGCTGAGGAGGGTACTTTTTTTTTTTTTTGGCTCAAGGGAAAATTGAACCAGCGGTATCAGAATGAAGAATCTTTTTAAAATTGAATAACTGGTTGAAATTAGAATACTATATATTTTTTATATTCTTTATATGTTTTTCTGTGACTTTGTGGCTGCAATGTGACTTGACTACAACAATTACCTAGCAGAATAATTTAAGAAACAACTCCAAGATAACGTGAACAAAATTTAACTAAAAGTGCTGTTAAGGAATACAGAGACCTTTTTTTTATTGTGGTTTTGGATAGGTCTGTTGATGATTCTTCCATAATTTTGAGGGTGTAAATGCATGTTAATCTATTTAGATTCCTGCTCCCACACAAAACAGCATGTACTGTATGGTGAGACTTTTGCTTTCTAACCGCCCATGACACCGGCTATCAGAACACTTGAACAGCGATTCCTTCAATTTGTTAATCAAAGGATGCAGGCACAGTGGTGCCAAAAAGGTGACCCACTGATCAAATTTCAGCTGGTTCATTAATAACAGGTCGAAATTCACTCAATGTATGGTCACCTTGAGAGGGGGATTCAGCTTAATTTCCTATTAACTCTCTGTTGTTTCCACAGCACAGGATTTTAATCGTTCCCTACTCGGGCCAATTTTGTTTCGCTCTTCCGGTTCCACCGTCCTATGTATTACGTCACTCCAGTGAGTGGAATGCACGCCGGCGTGCGGCGTTCCTGGGGGCCATCTTGTATATGGGAGATTCTCTATGCTGTCATCTGCTGCTGACTGTGGGATCTCTGGAAACTACCCTGGAGTTGTGACGATTGCAGATTCATCTTATGCAATTAAAATGCTGATTTTTATCTTAAAGAATGTGAGTGGCCTGGTACTTGTAGGGTTTTTCCCTACATTATACTGAGTATTTCTGGAGAGTGGAGTCTGGTGGTCTTGGAGATTGGAGGAAAGCTTTCCTTTGGTGGAGTGGAGATCTGGAGGCATATTAAAAGGAATCCCAAAAATACCTAAAAGGTCTTTTTTTCACCATTATCTGGTGAGTGCGGTACATATTGGTTGACCACGAATCTTGGTGGAAGCACATTTCTTTGGAAAGAGGAGTTTCTGAGTTTTTTAAGGATTTTTTCAAATATTTTTTCACCTATTTTAGAGTGGGACTTTTGTTCTATTAATATTAATTTTATTAATATCATTTATATTTTATTCATATATGTCATGATCTAACACTATATATTCTTTTGCGCTGTTTGTGTTGTTTAGATTTTTTTTGGTGTAGGTTTGCACTTATGAACAGCAGCATTTATTTGTTTTATTCCGTTTTAATTTTGGCGCTGGTGATTTATGCTTACCTATTATGCAGACAACCTGGCTGAATGACCCTTTAAGTACAGCTTACTAAGCATTAAACTGAAGGTTAACCAGACTTCTCCTGCACAATAAACCTAAGCTCCTATGAAGGAGTGCTTGTGTTTAACCCTTGAAATGTGTTTGATGTTAACTCCTAAACTCTTTTATTGTAACAAACAAAATGTATATTTGAATCAATCTCCATGGACCCTGTTCCAATCGCATGTGAGGAGGAATCTCCCCAATGGGAACAATAAAAGCCTGAAAAAGTTCCCCACTCTGTCCAACACTAAAACAAAAAAGTCTGGCTTACTAGAGCCTTTTTGGTGTCAAATTTGTAGGGTTTCTTGGTAGGTCCACCTTTAGGTAGATCACCCGTTAATTTTTGCACAGAGTGGAGATGGATTAGAACCCCTGTCAGGTTGTTATTGCTAATAAAATAAAGTGCAGCGCTAAGCGCTCACTTTGTTACACATTATAGGTTGTTATTGCTGTCTGTGCCCCCATTAAGGAGATTCATCCTCCCTATTTGTCCTGTTTTCCATTATCATCAAAAGTAAAAGAAAATCCCAAATTTTTAGTTTTTAGAAACTAAAACAGTAAGACACCAGTTTTTAGACACCAAAACAGTAATAGAGGAGAAATCTTCCAATGGAGCCACTAGTTCTGGTGATACATGAGGATTCTCTGACTTTGGAGGGATTTCCTCTCACTTCCTGTTTTGGCTATGGGACAGGAAGCGAAGGGAAATCTTCCTAATAGGACACCGATGGTGAAAAAAATAAAAAAAAACGGACAGCAGTTATAACCCTTCCTTACTCTATCCAAAATTGAAAAATAATGTTTGGCCTTTAGCTACACTTGAGGTTCTTTCCATATCCAAACTCAACGCTGCTTAGTCTAGACTTCTCTTTCAGAAATAAACAAATTAGTACATTTTATAAAACTTTACAAAAACATTAATTTACTCCCAGCTACTGTGGTGTTTAGGGAGCACACATCCCCACTGAAACCTGAATCTCACAGTCTGTATTCTGTTTTTTTCCCCATCCACTCCTGGAGAACAGTTTGAATATGTTTACTGATTAGTCAATTCTTCTTTATCAAACTAATTACGCACTATATTAGGCAGAGAGAGAAAAAAGTTACCACAATAAATATGTGCACCTGGCAGCCGTCTTCCTCCCAATCTACAGCCTTGTTGATAAGACTTCAATTTATTAAGTATGCATTTCTGACTCAAGTTTAAATTGTATCTGCCAGGAAACATTGAAAAATCTACTGTTAAAAGGCCAGTAAAACTGAAAGATAAATAAGCATGCTGTTAGGCAGCTATTTAAGGATCCATCCACCCAAAACTAATAATTCAGTTTTAGGTAGATTTGAGATGATTAAGCCATCTAGCTTGAATAAGAAATCATCAGCTGTTTTACTGGATTTTTCAATTTAAGTCATTTTATAAAACTGAGAAGAAAGAATGGCACAGAGGGGTAACCAGAAAATCCATCAAGAAGGGCTTCAGATGGGAAGGAAGTGGATTATTCAATTTACCCATGTCCAACTATAAGTGAAAATTGCTAGCATTAGCTCTGGGACATTGAATGAATATATTGCATTTAAAGTGAACTTGTGCTTTACTTATACTTATTCAGAGTAATAATTGGTTATTTTTTTTTTTATTGTTCTGCAAAACTGGAGTTGGGTTTTGAAATATATCTATGGCCAAAACCTAGAACAGGGAAGAAACATAGTTAGCAGCATTCCAGTACAGAGCAAGATCTGTAAGTTAACAAAATGGAAATATTTCTATTTTAAAAAAATGCAAAGCAGTGATGCAACCCTCACCCCTTCAGATCAACATTTACTCTTCTGATTCAACCCTCTTCCTGTAAGTCCAGAGAGTTAAAGCGGTTCTTCATCCTAGAAATAAAAAAATAAAAGTTAGCACCTATAAATACTGTAACCAGGGGCAGACTGACAACTCATGGGGCCCCCCGGGCAATAGGGGATCATGGGGCCCCTGTGTCCTTGCCCAAACTCAAAAAAGCCTATGGAAAAGGTACCAGGGGCATCTCATGGGGCCCCCTACTGACCCCAGGCCCTCGAGCAGTGCCTGAGTTTCCAAATGGTCAGTCTGCCCCTGACTGTAGCTGATGACTTTTAATAATGGAACCCTTACCTGTTCAAGGATCCAGCTCTGTCCTCACCCGGGCCAGCTCTTTGCTAGTCTTTGGGTCCTCAAGGACGGCAAATTTACTTTAAGAAACTAGCTGTGAGTGCTTGCTGCTTCACAGCTGGCTTCCCACTGTGCATGTCCTAGTTGTGCTTTGTGAATGGTCCTGTAGCCTTCTGGGTCCTAGGATGTGTCCCAGAAGGCTACAGGTGAAGAGGTGGCAGTGAACAATGCGGGTGGAAGTGGGAGCGAGTACCTGTCAAAATCAGGTACCAGCCCAACCCCCCAAAAAAATAAAGTGCCAAATGTTATCTGGGTGGAGGCAGACAAGCAGAATTTTCCTTTTTTGTAAAGTTCAGCTTTAAGGATGTGTCACCGCCAGGGGTGGACTGACCATTTGGAAACTCGGGCACTGCCCGAGGGCCCGGGGTCAGTAGGGGGCCCCATGAGATGCCTCTGGTACCTTTTTCATAGGCTTTTTTTAGTTTGGGCAAGGACACAGGGGCCCCATGATCCCCTATTGCCCGGGGCCCCATGAGTTGTCAGTCTGCCCCTGGTCACCACCACCCACCTATCATCAAGAAGCCCTGGGTTCATAGAAGAATGCTACAAACAACAGCATCTGCATCATTATAGGACCATGCACTGCCATCAAAGTAGGAAGAGGAAAAGGACTATGGAACGGCATGTGACCAGACTAAAGACAGTTCTAAAAATATATTTATTCTAAAAAACATATGCAGAGGTGCTCCAAGTGGATGGGGGTCTGCCCAACCTCAAGTTAGACTTAAAGTAGAAGAATAAAATCAAAGAAAACATCATGGTCTAGACATCAACTGAGCAGTGCGTTGTAGAAATCAAGCAAATCAGTTATACTTTTGCAAACTCTTGATCTGCAATGTACAAGATAAGAACATAAACTGGTCAGTAATGGACCTTTTTTTATTGATTACACTGACAATCTACAGTATATGAACATACTCAGGGTAAAGAATCTTTGCACATGTGTTCACATGAGTTCGTACTGTACGAACCTGGATCCATCATTGCCCTCGCCTATCTGTATTAACACAGAAAAGTCTAAGCAGACACGTGTGCATCCTTGATATACGAAAAACCAGTCCTACTTTATGGAAAGCTAAAAACCAATACCCTATTCAGAGAGCTTAAGTTAACTACAATTTAAAATGCTGGCTAATAATTCTTTGCAGCTGTAGTTATAATTTTTACATCCATAATTAAATCCAAGGCTATGTTCTGTGAAACAAGAAACCTTCCAACTTTGCATTTCAATTTGACAAGCCACCTATCTTGGATAATAAATCAGTTTATGGCAAATGATGACGGCAAAGCCGCGATGCTAATTTGACTTCCAACATAAATAAATAAAGAGGCAGCACACAGCTATTAGAATTCAAACTAATGGCACGAACAAGTATTACTTTTGTTTATACCATAAGTTTGTCAGTGATGTAAGGTATAATTCTTCTGCAAGTCGTTTCTCGGAGGCTTGAAAGGAGATGGATATTCTCAGGGGAAGACTTGTCATAAAGAAAAGAGAATCAAACTAGCAGAATAATACAATAAGTTTATGTATCACGCCAGTTCAACCAAGCAGTGATAAACTGTGGCAGCCTTTGAGGAGATGGCTGACAGATTTCATTTGTAGCAGTTCAAATCTTGCCCCGATGTCACATGTCATCTCATTCCACCAGCCCTTTGGTTTTTACGGGTACCCCTCTGGCTGCTGTCAAGGGATTAGAAGAGAACTCTGCCTTTTAAAAGTACCAGCATCCCCCTTCCTACAACAACTGTTGTTGACTTTAAAGGCACAATACTCTTAAAACTGAACTCCAGGCAAACATCTCAAGAAACCAAAGAATTACATATGTAAGGGAGCTATTTTACCTACCAAAGGATTTGTATTTCTGTCTAACTAGTCCTGAGATTTACACCATTCTGCCACACAGTGCAGGCCTGGGAAGGAGACCTGATTTTCCTCTACTGTAGTTTAGTGACACATACAAGGCTCGTTCCTCCCCCAGCCTGTGATTGGACAGTGAAAGGATCAGCAGCTGACTAATAAGCTCATTTTTCTGTCACTCTTCCCTCTCCTCCCATCAGTATGTTCTTTGATAGCATATGAACACTCACTGCAGGTTGAACAGGTTGGTAGATATCAATCCACACATGATGTTGACTGGATGCCAGAAGACAGATGTGGATCCATATGCTTGCTTTGTTTATGTGGATGCTGATGTTGTTTTTTTGCCAGTTATTAAATAGCATCAGCAGCAGGTCCAAATCTAGGATAGCACCAGTAATGTTTGCTATATACACAACTAGGCCCCCAAATTCACATATAAGTGGTAAGTCTCCAAGACAGTGAAAAAGTGAGGCTTTTATTTCCTACATTTGGAGCAAGAGTTTCCACCATCACCAGACCTTTTGTATTGGAAGGCTAGAAAGTTTCTATGTATGGTGTTGTGATTCCCTTCAAGACTCATTATTATTATTATTATACAGTATTTATAAAGCGCCAAAAGTTCGCTCAGCGCTGTACAATACAAAGGGGGACAGAACATGTGACAGAACAATACCAATACAATGCAAAACATGAGGGGATTGAGGGCCCTGCTCTTTCGAGCTTACAATCTAGGAATAATAAAGCTTCATTGATCATGAGTAATGACTTTGTGTAGAGTGTAGTATCCATTTAATGGTTTTAACTATGGCCTCCACTAGAAATGTCTTTGCCCATTTCACTACCCTCAAATTTTCTAGGTAGAGGATGTTATTCAAAGATGGATACGAAGGTCCAAGGCATGGTTATTAGTTTATCTAGTTCTTGTTCCTATTTTCACAGAAACTGGTCACCTGAGAATAATGCAGATAATTTTTGGAGGGTAATGGAGGGTATATAGAATTTGGAACACAATTCTTGGAAAGTGTATAATTTTTATAAGCTTTCTGTAACACGTTAATGGAAATGAGTCAATCCTCAAGTTGCCCCGGAGTGAAACGCAGTGATTTCTCCCTGAGGAATTGATGGATTTTTTATTAATAGTGTAATGGCTCAAAAAGTATGAAGATTAGTGCATTATTGTGACAACGTGAGGGTTGTTTGGATATGAGGCAATGTTGGAGCATCGGGAGGTGCCAGGGGTAGGAAATTACTATTTCTAATGTATAGCTGGTGTGGTTAGAGTTGCCCCAAATCCAGTTAGCATAATACCACAAAAAGCAGGCCAGATTATAGAATCTCAGTTTAGACATATTTATGATCTCTCCCTCTTCAGAAGATAAAATTTGCTCATAGCTTTACAGGGTCTTTTACCCTGCCCAATGAATTGCATAATGACCTGGTTCAATTTTTTTTTTTAATCGGTAATACCTGCACCGGATACAGAAATTTTGCAAAATTTATATTTTTTACCAGCTGAATTCTCCAAAAAAACGAGACAGACAGTGGCTCATTTAGATCTATCTACCTGCATATCAGTATCAGTTGAATTGTAGCTAAAGGCATACAGTAAAAAAGGTGTTTTTCCCATCTTTAGACCTGTGATATATTACATAGTTACATAGTTAGTCTGGCTGAAAAAAGACAAAAGTCCATCCAGTTCAACCATAGAAAGAAAAAAAAAAGGTTATAATCCTATACCCACAGTTGATCCAGAGGAAGGCAAAAAAAAAAAACCCCAGCAAAGCACGATCCAATTTGCTCCTGCTGGGAAAACATTCCTTCCTGGTCCCCCAAGAGGCAATCAGATATTCCCTGGATCAACTTAACCTATAAATATTAGTATCCAGTTATATTCTGAATATCTAAGAAACAATCCAGGCCTTTTTTGAAGCAATCCATGGCTATGGATACATTTATGGAACAAATCTTATTTTTTTAGAGGTAAGAGGAAAACATTCATTCTTAGATGTTATGAAGTCCATAGACTTCTCCAAAAGTTTGGAAAATAGCTTATATTTTGGGGACATGTGTAGTAGAATCCAAAGTGAACAATAAGATATCATCCACAAAGAAAAAGCTATATGGGTCTGTGTTATATATATGGAGTGCAGTAGTTTTCTTAGTTTTGCCACAGCTGTGGCTATTTTGGCATGGATTGGGGGTACAGCCAGCTACATCCTTTGACGATGGGGCTTCTGAAGTATCAGCATGGGCAGGATCATGTATGACAGCCTTCTTGGTTTGGTGCATAGACTTGTTGTTACATGCAGGCTTCACCTATTAACAAGATCTGATGTGGTTTTTAGCCAGAAATGTGTCCATCTGTGAACTGGGCCTCATATACCTCTAACAGATGACACTAAGGCCTCATCTATCTCTTACAGATGACACCCAGGCCTCACTTCATTCTCAGAGATGACATCCGAACCTATACTATCTCTCATGGATAATACTCAGGCCTCACCTCTCTTTCAGCGAGGCCTCACCGCTCTCTCACTGATGACATCTGGACCTCTCTCTTTCTCAAAATTGACACCAATACCTCACTTGTAAACATTATTGGTGACATTTGGGCCTTATTTCTCTTTCCAAGATGATACCTGGGCCTCGCCTTTCTTTTACATTTATTATTTGCTCCAAAGTACAGGCAACCTTTGTTTTCAGTTTGTTTATCTTTTTTGGTCTGTTTCCAATAAGGCAGGTCAGTCAAAAGACTTGTAAGGAGGAAAGAGGATAAGCAAGGCACAACAGTGTACAGTACTACTAAACATGGGGCACATGGAACACATCTGCACTCTCATATGTACTTCAAAGCTCAAAGATACATTTTCTTGACTCTAAAGTGAAACTTTAAAACATAAGAGCTTGAAGCTGTGCCTGCATTGGCCGCATAAAGGATATATGACTCTATCTAGTTATTTGGTCATATGCTTTAAATGCACAGTGGGACCTAGCATGCACACTTTCAGATAGAACTCTTTGACTAAAACAACCCTAACTAAAGGCTTCAGTTCAAAATCCCATCAGGTCTAATTAAAAAACAACTATCAGAAATCAAAAAAAGTTGGCAATAAGGCCTACATACATGTACCTAGTAGGGCCTATATATACCTACAGTACATAAAGATCTTCTTGCATCACACTTCCATATACAAATATGGACACTTTTTTTGGCAGTGGAGAGCTACAATCATTCTTGCTTCTTGCATCTTCCTATTTGAAAGTGCAGGAGAGGAAGTTCCAGCTCCTAACTTCAATGACAATAGTCAAAAATGTATGTAGTAAAGGGTATTTAGTGAGCGCTACCTTAAAACAAAAATGGAAGTATATATATATATATATATATACACACAACAATGTTATTAAGCTGCTGATACAGCGAAAAAGGTAACCAAGAAAAACCTCCAATAATACATGTATGTCCAAATAAAATGGTGCAGCGCTAAGTGATGATACACACGTTAATACACACAATAATATGCTATTTCAAACTTTTGCGAATACGTGATATCACTCTGAAGGTGATCATTAAATATTTAAATTAGTTCAATGTGATTATGTGGATCATAAAGAGATCACAATTCCAGGTGAGTGGACGTCCTGATCCGGGAGTGACAATTGGTGCAGACCACACAAGTGG